CAACAGCACATTGCAGCCACTTGCCTGTAAGTTCTGCTAATGCACCCTTTTCCTACTTCTCACGTCCTCAAGGGGACAATAACAGCCACTTGCCTGCAAGTTCTGCTAATTGGACCTTTTCCTCCTCTTCTACTCTATAAGAGCACATTGCAGCCACTCACCTCGAGTTCTGCTAGTGCACCATTTTTCTCCTCCTCATCCACTCTTTAAAACCACATTAACAGCCTGCTGCTTTTATGCTGCTAATGGTCATTTCTCATCCTCCTACTCTTCTGCCAATCCCACCATAGCCCTGAAAACTGGCTATGATGAGTTGGCAAAATTGGAGGACTGCTATCTCAAGTGCCAATCCACAGAGCTCTGCCTTGTAGGTGGGCCTTATTTTAATGTAAGAAGGCAATCTCCCCAGATACCATTATTGTGCTCAGAAGGCCACCAGCATATGGAGGAGGAGGAGGGTTGGGATGCTGGTGGTAAGGAGGAGGAAGAAATTATGCAGGACGGAGAAACCTATTGCCATAGGCCGCCCACTCTTCCACTATGCAGAGAGAAGTGCAGACAGCATGAAAAAGTTAGGTGTAGAAACCTATGGCCATATGCTACCTGCCCTTCCTCAAAGCGTTACATTTGTAAGGCTATCCCTGCCCTGGTCAAGCAAACACAGACAGGGACAGCAATGCAAACTGGGTACTACCTTAGTCAAGAATGCAAAAACAAAAAAGGCCCCCTTGCAAGACACTTGCCTCGCAGAGGTGATGGCTACAAGGAATACCACCTTGTAGGTCAGAGTAAAGAGAGAAATGTCTTACTGGATTGAAAAGGCAAGTTCTAAAGCAGAAACAGCTTAGGTTTTAATCGAGGAGAGAGCATGCTACATTACAAAAGCTGCAGGTATTATAATTTTTAGCAGGGGTTCCCCTCGACCTAAACATTATTCCAAAGAAAGGCTGTAGCATCATATTCATGTGCCTTATTTTTTCTGCACTCTCGAGTAGAGGCTAAAGCTGGTCTCCTGGGGTGCTAGGATTACGAGGGGTGAAGAGTAAAAAAATCTTATGCTTTAGTAATCAGCTTGTGAGGCCTGTGTCTTAAGGGCCCTTTCACATTCACGTGCCATTCAGGCCACTCATTTGAATGGCACCTCAACCCCCCCTCCCCCCTTCCGCGCCACACTGCGCATTCCCGCAAATACTGTGCATTGCAGTGCAATTCAAAATTAGTGCATGCAACACACTACAATGTACAGTAATTGCAGTACCATGTGTTGCAGCGCAGCCAATCACACTGCGGCCGGAGGGTATGTAATGGCACGCAATGCACCTCCTGCTTGGTAATCACACAGGTGGTGCATTAATCGCACAGAACCGATTAACACACAGAGGTAGTGTTAACGGGCCCTTAGAGTAACAGAGTATCTTTTAACATCTGGAGTTTGCCTTAGAAATATACAAAACTCAGATACAAAATCTATGTTTGCATGTTCTCCCTGTGCTTGTGTGGGTTTCCTCTGGTTTCTTCCCACACGCCAAAGACATGCTGGTAGGCTAATTGGCTCCTGTCTAAATCGGCCTTGTTTGCATGTGAGATAGGGGCCTTAGACTGTAAGCTCCTTGAGGACAGGGAGTGATGTGAATAAGCAACTATGTAAAGCGCTACATAAATTGTCAGCGCTATAAAAATACCAGTAAATGAAAAACAAATTTGTGCTGCTATGAAAAAGTATAAGGATTAAGGCTATGGTGAGAAGAAACTAAAGGAATCACATAATATGCAGTATGTCCTGTATTTAATGGTGCTGCAAAGAGTCATGTGTGTTTATATGGTGCAGACGGGCTCAGGGGTTGACCTACCATCGGGCCTGAGGCTGGGGGGGCCCAGTGAGATCTGGTCCCAGGCACCCCCCTTGGTGGAATACGGGGCAGTGCTGGGGCCGGGGGAAAGGCAGGGTTTTCCGATGAGCATGTGAGCGGGAAGGGGGTTTAACCGCATATTCCATGCCTTCTGACTCACAATACTGCACGCCCATGATGACTGATAGTGAAAGGCACCAATAGAATTCAGAGTATAGGTTCTCCCTGATTGGCCAGGGCCAGGCCTAGGAGAGAATCTCTGATATTCTATTGGCACTTCAGTCTGCCTAATACAGTAAGCGGGCAGTGTGGTTTAAGCAACCGTGTCCCGGCCAATGAACACAACCTGTGCCCAGTGATGTGATGGACCGCTGTGTGCGTGTATGTGTCTGCCTGGGGAGGGACGCAGGGGATGCTCAGTGACAGAACACAAGAACAGGTAGGGCTGCTTGTTGCTTGCTCCCCCCACCCTCGGATGACCTGTGGCTTCCCCTATGCCACCTCCAGAACTGCATGGCACTGCACAAATAATGCAACTGCAGCTGGGAGAGCACAGGCAGCCATGCTTTGTAAGGCATTATACCCAGCTGTGGTGTGTAGTGCTGACATATGGAGTAGCGGTGTATGCAGCTCAGCTGCCGGCCCTGATTGTGTTGAAGGCAGAAAAGTTGGTGTTAGGAAAGCAAAAAATGGGTGCTGACGGGGCGCAAAATGTGTTCTACCAGGGAGCAAACCGGGCAAAGTACACATTGACCTAATGTGGCCTTATAAGCTCAATGATGTCACCAGTATCCACACCCTTTATTTTCATGCGGGGGTGGGGAATTCCCTGGCTGGGCCAGCACTCACAGCTTACTCCCGGGTACCAATGAGCTCCGGTTCGGGCTGAACCCCCAGCTCATCCATAGAGGAGAACAGAGTGTAATTTATTACCAGGGCAGCCGATGTGTCTGCATCGGGGTTGAGGCTGGGGGGGCCCCAGTGAGATCTGGTGGTCCCTGGAACCCCCTATTTATAGAATATGGGGCAGTGCATGGTCTCTGGAGCAAGGTGGGAGGGGTTTCTGACAGGCTTCTAAGCGTGGGTGGGGTCCAAGCGGTTCCCGCTCTGACTCCTGGCTGCATCCTTAGTAACAGGCGGCAGGAAGGGAGAGTTGGAGGAGGCGGAAGGAGCAGGGCAGGTGAGAGATGCAATTTATGGGAGTATACTGTAGAATCCAGACTGTACAGGGAGCCAATCGGAACCGGCACCGGTCAGAGATTCCGGTATACATAGAGATCTCTGTGTATACACAGAATAATGTTTATATAGAGATCAGTGTATATAGAGATCATAATGTGCTATACTCCTCACTGTGTATATAGAGATTAGTGTGATCCAGGGACGGACTTGCTGCCGGTGCACCTGGTGCGACGGGCTTCTGTGGACAGGTGGGGGTGGGGGGGGATTGGGTGGCCTGAGAAAAAAATCCTGCACCAGCACCCTTTGTTCCTTAGGTCCGCCACTGGACGAGCAGGCCTGCCAGCACCAAGGAAGCACATGACAAAGCATGCTGACTTTTTTCAATAGGTTACCAGCATAGTAATATCTCTGCCTTGCAGTCTGAATGTTTGTAAGCAGTGATGACACACTGCACATGCGCAGCCCTCCAGTCACTACCTATGGAGAGGAGGAGAGAAGGGAGAGATGGGTGAGAGCTGAAGTGCGGTAGTGCCTGGATAGGACAGCAGTGGGTAGATCTGGAAGGGGGGAATGTTACTGTGTTGTCATGAGAAAAGCCTAAACAGAAAACTATGCCCACAATTACCCAATGTTGATCCAGAGGAAGGCAAAAAAAAAACCCCTATAAAGCACGGTTCAATTTGCTCCAACAGGGGAAAAAATTCCTTCCTGATCCCATAAGGCAATCGGATATTCCCTGGATCAACAATCTCTGATGCTTAATATACCTCAAAGAACTCAATATCCAGTAATATTCTGTGCATTTACATCCAGATGTTTTTTAAAACAATTGACCGAGCTAGCTAGAACAAGCTCCTGGGGGAGTCTATTCCACATTTTCACAGCTCTAACTGTGAAGAATCCTTTCCGTATGCAAAGGTTAAACCTCCTTTTCTCCAGACGCAAAGAGTGCCCCCTTGTCCTTTGCAGTGACCTTAATGTGAATAATTTGGCACCAAGTTCTTTATATGGACCATTGAAGAAAGTATTTAATAGATTTGCCTTCTCATTATCCCCAGTTACCAGCTCTGAGTTATCTTTTAAGGGGCCAACATGCTCCGACCTAATTTTTTTAGTATTAATATATTTAAAGATTTTTTGGGGGTTAATCTTGCAATCTTTTGCAACCTGTCGCTCGTTTTGAAGCTTTGCAAGCTTTATTTCCTTTTTACATATTTTATTATATTCTTTGTAGCTTTCAAATGAAAGATAGATTTCAATTGATACATAGATCCCCAACCCTCCTTGGTAAGCTGCACTAAAAAAGAGATTTAGCACAGTGGGAGCCTGCAATCCCCAAATTACTACTTGTCTAAAGTAAAATTGTTTACACATGTATACTTCTGATGCAAAGGGGGGGGTTAAGTGAAGGGGAGACTCTGATGTGAATGGGGGAACTCTTATTGGAAAGAGGGGGACTTTGATGTGAAAGTGAGAACTCTGCTGTGAAGACTTCTGATGTTAAGGGGGCTCTGATGTGATGGAACAACCCTGATGTAAATGGGGGGCACGTGATGTGAAGGGGGAACTCTGATGTAAAGGGGGTCTCTGTTTTAAAGGGTATGTTCCTAATATAAAGGGGGAAACCCAGATGTGAAAGGAGCTGCTTTATCATCCAGTGCAGATGCCAGTGTCCTTCAGCCCACCAAATACACTTTGGAGCAGCTGCCCCTCTCCTTACTCTAATCCCTACTCCACCCTCTGTCCCCTATTTTGCCAAAAACAAAGCTGGCAAACCTATTTAGGCGTCATATCCCACTAGGGTTTGACCCCACTTGGAATAAAGATTTCCAGAGAATGAGGATAACCATTGTGAGCTACTTGAATAGTAATGGTCATTCATAGAAAAACAAAAACATTTGTGTGAAAATATCATTATATTACATTACAAAAGTGCTTAGACCGTATTTCATGTTTTACTGTTTGTAGCCAACCGATGCATTTAAGAAGAGGTGGTTTACTCTTGATCGCCGCAGGCTTATGTACTTCAAAGACCCCCTGGTAAGATCTTCAGTCTTATTATAGCTGCTAAGTTACGTACTTTTAATTGTTTAAGATTTACAGGGTTATTCACTACAGTGTGAAGAGTTTGGAGAAGGCAGGAGAAGTGAACAACCGAAGACAACATAGCAGAACTGGAAAGTGAACTGAATTGGAGAAATTTTCAAAATCATATTTTGGCCTAGATTGTTCACTTCTCCTGCCTTCTCCGAACTCTTCACCCTTTAGTGAATAACCCTGTAAATTTTGTCTGGTGTTTACATTCAAAATAAATATTGTGCAGTTTCGTTTGGCTTCTCTTCACTGGACATTGCAAGGTAACATTGCCATTTTTTTCTGCAAATTAAGATTTATCAAGTTTTAAAGTTCAAAAACAAACATAAAAGAACATTAAAAAATAAGCAAAGTATACATGTCCCAGGAGACAAATAGGTAATACATATCAAACCAAAAGATAACATTAATCATAATAAAACCACATTTCAGTCTCCTGGTGCCAAAAATCCAAAGAAATTGGAAGAACGCAGCTAGAGGAAAGTAAGGAAAATAAGAGGCAGCGAGGGAGCGTCCATGTATTAGAAAAAAAAGAAAATAGAAAAGGTACATGATAAAGTCACGAGCCAATGAAGTCAAGTCAAGCCAATCAAAAAGCGATGGAGGAAGAATGGGTTTCCAACGTTGCGCAATAGCGTCCGCAAACAGGAAAAAGCGAAAAACAGAGCGCTTAGCCTTTGGGAGAGAACTAGAAAAAATGGTAAGCTAAATGGTAAGGTAAAGTGAACTCAGGAGTATTCCAAATCTCTACTGCATATGACTTATTATAAATAGCTACCAGCTTTGCTCAAAATTCCCAAATTATGAGACAAGCCCACCAAACATGAGGATAGGTGCCCACCACCTGTTGACACCTGTTGATTCAGAAATTGAAGGGAAAATACGATGGAGCCTCACAGGGGTCAGATACCATCTGGAGAGCAACTTAAAGTTTCGTTCCTGAAGTTTACACGACATAGCTAATTTTTGTGCAAACAAAAATATTGTCTGCTAGTCAGCAGGACCTATGGCGGAGTCTAGTTCCAGCGACCATTTTTAAGTGTATGTAGGAGGGATAACAGACCGGTGAGAAAGAAAAAGACCATACAACAGGGAAATGACATGAGACGGTGGGAAAGTAGATACACATAATGTCATAAAGGGTAGGAGGTCCCTATGTAGATTCGATGCAGAGTGCAAGGAACGATAATAGCTGGAAAGATGGAAGTATGACATCCAAGCCCTATCATCCAAAGAACGTTCAAATAGAACCGTTGAGTAAGATAGTAAAGATCTACCCCTTAAAATGTGCCGAAATTTCGGCCAAAACTGTCTATCCCAACCCAGAAATGAGGGTGCATGGAGACCAGGTGGAAATTGTGGATTATCCAGCAACAGAGTGAGAGGGCTAGGCAATGTGGAGAGGGATAAAGAAGTATGCGAATAATACCAACTCCACAAGACAGAAAAGGTTAAAAGAGGCCAATCAGCAGACAAGCCCAGATGAGCTCAATTGCCGCTTTAGGGTGAATTGTCAAAGGCCTGAAACTCAAGAGACCCATTGCTTATGTTCACTATTATGAAACCAGTCTAAAAGACGAGTCAACATCGCAGCCTTATAATAGAGATAGAAGTCAGGAAGGCCCGCTCCCCCAGTCTCTTTACGTCTAGTAAGAAGGCGATAATTAAGTCTAGGCTTGCTAGAGGACCAAATGAATGACCAAAACATAGTACAGAGTTGAGAAAAGTAAACACGCGGGAGCTTAATAGGAATAGCTTGAAAACAATATAAAAACTTTGGGAGAATATCCATTTTCATTGCATTAATACACCCAAACCAAGTTAGTGGCCTGGAACCCCAGTTCTTGAGGTCCAAATTAGTTTTGGCTAAAAGAGGGGAAAAATTGAGGTGGAACAATTGGCTTAAATCAGATGGGAGGGAAATTCCGAGATATTTAATTGAGCCAGCCTGCCAAGAAAAGGGGAAAGCAGTCCAAAGCTGAATAACATCTGAATTCGGAAGAGAAACATTCAGGACTTCCGATTTATCCATATTAACTTTAAAATTGCTTACAGCACTGAAGGCAGATAATTCCTGGAGAATGGCTGGAAAAGAAGTAGCATTGGCATAGAAGGATATTTTGCATTAGAGCGAAGAGCCACCGCCAAATGTTCCATAGTGATAATGTAAAGCAAAGGGGATAACGGACACCCCTGGCTGGTACCATTAGAGATGGAGACAGGGGCCGACAATTCACCATTAACACGAATGCGTGCTGAAGGGGATAAATACAATGCTAACATTTTTAATACAAAGAAATCTCCAAGCCCTAAATGACTTAAGAAGCTTCCAAAAACTGCCAGTTGACCTTGTCGAAAGCTTTTTCAGCATCTACCGTCAGGAGACAAGCTGGGACCTTCCACTTCTTTGCCAATTCCATAAGGGTAATGGTTTTACAAGTGTTATCCCTCGCCTCCGCCCCTACTAAAAAAAAACAACCAGATCATTGTGAATAATAGTAGATAAAAGTGGTTGTTAACGCAGTGCTATAACTTTTTAATATAATTTAATATCGCAATTCAGCAAGGAAATAGGGCGATAGCTACCAGACAACCCAGGGCCTGGGTTGTCTGGTAGAAAACCATTTGCTCCCTGGGCCTTACCGTTTTTAGCGAGTTTGATCACATGGGTCCATTCATCAATCGTAAAAGTGGAGTTCAAGGTGGAACTGAGAGAGGAAGATATATCGAGGGCAGGGAATTTGTGGATATATAAATCAACTAAAGGATCAGATGGGGGGATAGAAGTAGAGGAGATATTGTATAGTTGCGAATAATAATCATGAAAGAACTGAAGAATTTCTGAGCTGGAATGAGCAAAACCCTTCCCCAGAGAAAGGAGAGTCAGATTGTGGTTGAAGCACTCTAGCAAGTAGAGAGCCACTCTTATGACCGTATTCATGGGAACGTTTAAGGAAGCGGTCACTGTAACGAAGGGAGGCTTGATCTAAAAGCGATAAGACTTGAGTGCGAGTGGAGGAAATTTCTAGCCTGAGTTTATCATCACCAAGGCATTTGTGTGAGGCTTCCAAATCACCAAGTTTGACAAACAGAGTCAATTTGCTGAGATCGCTATTTTTTCAATCTGGCACCACGTTTGAATCAAACCCCCCCACATCACACACTTAAGGGCCTCTCACTTAATGGGAAGAGGAGTGTGATCCATGGTATGTACTATCAAAAAGTCAGCGATAGCCTTACGGAGGTCTGCACAACAAACAGGGTCCCGCTAAAGGTTGTCATTCAGTGTCCAAGATGGGGAGTGATTAGGGAGGGTAGAAAGGCTAAAGGAGCTACAAACAGAAGAGTGATCTGACCAGACTCTGGGATCGATGCTAATGGTAGGAGACGCATCTAGAAGCGATTCAGAAACAAAAATATAGTCTATCCTACTTTGGGACGGGAATAGAACGTGTAGTCTATATCACTCAGATGTAGAGTCTGCGATAGGTCCAAAAGCTTCATAGAGACTAGTTTCTGTTTCAATCTACTGAGATCAGAGAATGAAACACTGCTCTTACCAGAAGAAGAATCCACCAAAGATCCATGGTCAGGTTAAAGTCACCTGCTAGGATAATCGTACCATCTGCAAAGGACTCCAGCTCCCGTAAGTATCATAGGCAGATGGACATCTGAGACAAATTAGGGAAGTATAAATTGGCAATCATATAGGTTACCAAACCAAGCAGAAATGTTAAAAATAAATAATGCCCTGCAGGATCTGATTTGGTATCCAGGACTTGCAACCTACAAAGCTTGTGAATACCAAGGAATTAGCCAAGGAATTAGTACTATGATACCACTCCCTATAATAGTGTTGGGAGCAAGACCAGTGCGAAAATGGGTTTCCTGCAACAGAAGTATATGTATCTCACGCTTATGCATATGGTGTAAAACCTGTGATCTCTTATTAGGGGGGTAAATCCCTTAACATTAAAAGTACAAACCGACAAAGACATTGCGGAATAAAATTGCGGACAAAAAGAGAAATGAATTAGACAACCCTGCTGCCAACATGGAAAAGGCCAAGAACAGAACCATGATGGAAAAGAAGGTGAGAAATACAAAATTGAGCAATAGAAAAAGGAGACAAAAAAAAAAAATAAGGCAAGAGAAGAAGAAAAGAACAGCAAAATACTGTACACTGGAGGGTTAAACTCCAGCCGGGTGTCACTACAGGGCAAATTCAGCAGGAGGTACCCCGTAAGAGACCCGAAAACATCTAAGTTATGCTAAACAGCAACACACCCACTATATCGCGGGTAGCCCAAGTGGGAGGCGAGGGGGCCCAAATGGAGAAAACAGCAATCCCTCAAGGAACCTAACTACCAGCCCATAGCTATCAATAAAAGAAAAAAAAATAGCAAAATGGAAAGCTGCAAATAATCACTTGCCATTTGCAATAGTTAAATCATAATACACTATGAGATTATGCATGGAAAAGTGATGTAAAATAATAAAACGGTCATATAGCAAAATGCAATAGTTACACAAAACCATAGGAAACAAATACTTTATGAGAAACCATGTTGTAAGTACTATAAACAGCAGAACAAGGGTCCACCCTTTGTGGACCCAACTTTCAGCAAGTCACTCAGGAAGAACAATACCACAGGATAGATTCCAAGGCAATCAGGATGTGCTCAGGAGATCAGAGGAGAAGTAGTTGCGGATCTCTTCGATGCCTTCTGTTGCCACCTTTCACGAGTTGGATGATCCACAAGGAAGGTAGCATAAGGCCAATCAGGCAGAGAAACTTGAGGGAGTTGGAAAGTTCCTAGGAACTTAGGAAGATCTTCAATAAAGCGAAAAACTGTAGACTTGCCGTCCTTCGATCCCTTTCACAAGGTGAAAGGGATATCATGAGAACGAAGAACATCCAATGAAGGCTTCAGAGCTCTCCGCATTTGAAGGGTGCGCCTGGAGAGATCTGAGAGAAGCAGGATCGGGACACCATTAAACTTTATTTATCAGTCGCACGAGCAGCAGCCATGACAGCTTCCTTTATGGAGTAGAAATGGATGCGACATATAATGCCACACAGGCGATTAGAATCAGTCAAACAAGGACCCAGAATACGATGGGCCGAATCAATTTCAAGCTCAGTATCTTTATCCTTTTGCACATGCTTATTAAAGACGGAGCGGAGCATCAAAAGAAGATCCTTAGATTCAAGCGATTTGGGAACACCACGAACTCTGATATTATTACCCCTGGAGCGCTTTTCCTGATCATCAAGATAGTAGATCAGGTCATGGATCTGTGCAGTGTGATCCTGTAAGACCTTGTGATGGTCGTCTAAGTGAGAGCATGATGATTCCTGAGACGTTTCCATGTCATCCAGGCAAGTGCTGATATGAGCAACCTCTGCACGTAGGCCAGCCATCTCAGATCTATATGCCGCCTCCCTGCGGGAAACATATCACTCAAAATAAGTCTTCGTCGGGAGGGAGCAGATGTACGCCTTTAAATCCGCATCCTCACCTCCCATGTCTGATTCGGGTAAGCGGGTGTTCCAACCATCCTGGGCGAAAAAAAGGTGTTCAGATGCCCGGATTTACGCCCGCCGGCTTGCTGAGAGGGTCACTGCTGCTTCTTGTTGCCCATGGTGAGCGAATGGCAGCCTGTGGAGCAGTTAACGGGCTGCAGAAGGTGCAGTCACCTCTTCCGGCGGTGTCTAATTACGCTCTGTGCTGGCTTAGATTTTTTGGCCCTTTTCTCACCTCCCCACATAACCTTTTATGTAGCTGCAGGGTTAGAGGAAGAAGAGAAGGGGAATAATATAGAGTGTAACTTGAATTACAGCTATGAGTTTACTGGGGCTGCTGACATCACATCCAAGCAGTCTCCGGGCTTTTGGATGTCTACACAAGGGGGGCTTTTACAGGTAATTAACATGCCTAAAATACACATATAATGTTATGGGAATATTTTTGTTGAAATTAATGGTCTGGTGACAGGCCAGATCTAAAAGGTCAAGGCCCATCAGAGCATAATGTTCAGGGGCTCTTCTTCTAACTGCTATACAAACAGATGCACCTAAAAGTTAGCATTTTGGATGTTAAACTTGCAGTTGTTGATAATCCATCATAAAACAGCATCATAATCTCCTTTTTCTGATTCATGGAGAAGTTATAAGAAGCTTAGGTCAAAATGGCTTGATAGACTAACAAAATCACTGTCTTTAGGCATCTTTAGGGATGTATTATTTGCCAAACGGTGATTTGTCAGGACTGTTTGATTCTGTTTGGTTTGGGCAATACTTATGTGTGTTGGAACCCTGTGATTCTCCATGTAGTCTTCGAGAAAAATGTATCTGGATTAAATTTGCTTGGCCACTTTCCTGTTGTTTGTCTTCTACTTCGGCTATATGAGTGTGCGTTGTCATGCACTGTTACCATAAAGTAGAAAGTCACAAATCTGGATAATTAAAATCTAGATCACAGGGAATCTTACAGGGAAACAGCAAGGATTCTTTAGTGGTTTACACTGGCAATACAATTTCTCATTTAATGGAGCCCTTATATTGGCAATATTAGAGAACATGCCATTGCCAATTTTGTAGCTTTCCATGAGCTTTCAAAGCAATTGCAAGCTAAGGCTTTGCTAGTTTCACTTTGGATTAACATTTTGTTGGCATTCCACTGGTGGCAGTTCAGTTCAAAGGCATTTTTTAAATAAATTTTCACATAAGGTAAACAATCAAAAACTGAAAGTAAGTTTGAAACCATGAGTAACATTTACTGTAGTTGAAACTGATAGAAAGCTCCAAAACTGCCGAGTGTTAGCGCAGTACTATTCACATTGGGCTTGATATACTAAGGTGTGAAATAGACCTGGGCCTGATTTACTGTGTGAAGTGAACCTAATTGGCTCCAGTCACGAAGAAGCAGATCTGTTTTTTAACAAATTCCTTTCCACATGATTGCATATTTGAAATAAACCCCTGTTATATTTGTGATGAATGCCCGGCCTGAACCCGCTGTGTGTCAATCACACGTGACTATACGCAGTTCTGAAGTTCCGAGTGTGGTGTCACAAGGACGTGGAGATACCACTCTCAGTCTCACCCTGCACATAGATTTCCCAGCTCACAGGACAACAATCTCAGGCCAGCAGACTGAAAGAGATCGTCACTAGGGTTGGTTAACTGCAGTTAACCCTTTACACATCAAACGTTCACTGCCAACATGTACTTTAACGGAAGTTTGCACCAATCCCGGCAAGTGCTGCAGCACTTCAAAAAACTTAAACAAAGCCTATGATACAGTTGTCCTCTCAGACAGGAACATGACAGGTTTACTATACAGTAGCGCTCTTTACAGAGGGTCTTTACTTTAGGTTCTTTATTTAGAGCATAGAGATAAGCTTAACAGTTTTAAAGATTGTCCTTTAATAGAATAAACAGTGCAGAAAAATATACAGAAAAATATATTATTAAAGGGAGAAAAAATATATAACCACAGTAAAGTAAAAAGGAGTCCAAAAGTTCAATAAGCAAAAGAGGGGGCTGAATGGCTCTGCTCCAAGCAAGGCTTGCACTGATGATGTCCAGATATTAAAGGGGAACTCTTCTGCGATGTTACCACTTCTTAATGTTGCAGGAGTTCCTTTCCTTGATGTTACAAACAAGAGCCTCTCTAGCTGTATGTGCAGCATCTTTTTGTCAGGCCTCTAGGGGATGTCACAGAGCCGACCTCTAGGGCAGGCCTGGGGTGGGAGAGCGGGAGGGACGAGCCTTCATGATTTCCTCCTCTGCTTCTCCCAAACGGTTAAATTAAGAGGATAGTGGAGTATTCATATTCAGTACGGTCCGACAACCACTAAATTATGATGCATCATGACATGAGCTTTGAATCAAAACCAAATTTAGCGTGAATATGAAAGATAGTTGGGCAAGGAGGCCAAATGTCGCCTGTCGGACCCCAGAGGATTTTAGTCTAAATGTTTTTGGTATGTTTGTTTCTGTCTCAATGAGACACAGCTATTTGTGCCACTTAATTTTACAATATCACTGTTCAATTCCAAGTTATGAAATTGAGTTGATATTGTATCTCAGGTGTATGACTTTTGGGTGAATGCCGGGTCACCTGGGTCATTAACTCTACCAGGCCCTCTGGTGTTTATCTAAAGCTGTCACTTGCTAATTTATTAGGCCTTGTTCACACCAAGTGACTATACGCAGTTCTGAACCGAGTGTGGGAGCAGGTGGAGAGCAGATCAGTTGCAGATCGGATCAAAACTGCGTTCAATGTATTCCAATGGTATTTTTTGCTTCAGCTCACATTGCAGCGTGCAGTTCCAGAGCAGGTTCAGAGCAGGTGAAAAAACTGCAGCAGGCCCTGTTTTACCTGCTCTGGATCTGCAAACGCATCAAAAACGCATGCAAATGCCTGGAACGCACTGAAAGCCCAATTTAAACTTTAAAAAATTGGGTTTTTTAAGCCAAAAACTCGTCAAAAACGCATCAAAAATGCATCTAAAAGACTAGCGTGCGTGTGCAGAAACCTGACCGGATCTGCTCTGCATTTGGTGTGAACCAAGCCTTAGGGGATTAGCTGAGCTGGGCAAAAGCATTTCAATGCATTAGCGGTTTATGGCACCACTCATAAAGAAGTCATTGAAGCTGATCCCCATCAGGTCCAGGGGAAACTCTAGATAACACTCAGTTTAGTGCTTCACTTAAGAGATATACAGATTACAGGCACAGATTAGCAGATCTCTTTTGGAATTTGAAGATACCTGAAGAAGAGTCAGGCTAAGGTCACCTACAATGAAAGACTGCATTTGCTTTAGCTAAATATATTTAATATTAATAGTCTCAAACCTTACTAAATCATGCTCATGTTTTCTTCACTTTAGCACATTTTACTCTTTAGTAAATCAAGCCCACTGTGCTTCCCTTTTAAGTTTAACCACTGCTTTGTATCTCTTTCTCTTAGGATGCCTTTGCCAAAGGTGAGGTGTTTTTGGGGAGCAGTGAGAATGGATACCAGGTAAAGCCAGAATCAATTTCAGGTACACAAGGCAACCTGTGGAGTTATGGTATATCCATAAGTACCCCTGAGCGTACTTATTTATTTACATGTGAGAGTGAGACTGACCGCGAACACTGGCTCAGTGTGTTCAGGAAAGTGATCAGCCTTCCTATGAATATTCGAGAGTATGCAGGTAACATTTCTTTTTGTTTTTGTTTTCTTTGTACAGCATATGTATTTGAAATTGTGTCTAGTATTAAATCTATAGTTATTGAAGAAAGAAGTGTAAAGGATCCTGAGCACCAGACAGGTAAGGAGCTGCATGTGCAGGGAAAGGGACCCCGACCAGCCCACCTGAGACCCTGCAGAGCCTACCGTAGAGAGTCTCAGATGGGCTGTGGTGTGCTCTGCAGGGTCACTCTCAAGTGGGCTGTGTGGGGTTTCAGGTGGGCTCTGCAGGATCTTAGGTGGGCTCTGCGGGCCACAGGTGAGTTCTGAGTCCAGTGCGTTACTAAGTCCTGAGTCCAGTGCGTTACTAAGTCCAGAGTCCAGTGCGTTACCAAGTCCAGAGCAGTGGCGGAACTATTGCCATAGCTACCCAGGCGACCCCTATGAGGCCCGGGGCACAGGGGACCCCGACCAGGATGAGGAACAAAGGGGTTCCCCTGATGCAGTGTGGGCAGACTGTCTCAGCGGCGGCTCTGAGGAGGAACGCGGCAATGTCCAGATCACTTACAACCTGTCAATGATCTGTGCACCAACGTGTTCCTCCTCACAACTGCTGCTGAAACAGTGACAGCCAGCAGCTGCAGAGGACGAGGCCAGACCAACGGCGGTGGAGGAGGCGGAGCACGTTGGCGACCAAGGAGGAGGCGGGCCTGGAGGTGGAGAAGGCTGACAGCAGATCAGGGCTGACAGGTAAGAGGTGTGCAGGGGTATGACCAGCCCACCTGAGACCCCGCAGAGCCCACCATAGAGAGTCTGTTATGGGGCCTTGTGATTTCTAGTTACGCCCCTGGTCCAGAGTTCAGTGCATTCCAAAGTTCTGAGTCCAATTCATATACTGTTCTGCATTGCTGTATAATGTATTGGTGGATTTGTAGTCCCCCTACAACTGGGGCCATTCTACATTACAGTGTAAGCTCCTCTGTACAGAAACTAATGTGACTGGCTCATTCTTCTCTGTACAGTACTGTGGTATATGTCAGAGCTATATAAATGTCACTAAAGGCATCTACTTTACAGGATACATATTCATTGATATTGAATTGACCAGGTTCAGCAAGCACCATAACAGTTTTTACTTTTAATCACAACATTGTAATTACTAATTGTTATAGACTGCTACTAATTCTAATTTTATCTCTTTCTAGTCGAAGCAAAGTTCAAGCAACGTACATAGCACTTTTCTGATCCTTCATTTTCCCAATAACAGCTATCGGAACATCTCATTTCTGGACTTTAAAACACCTTTTATTTTCCTTTTATTACATCATGTACCAACATATGTAATACTAATTATGCCTTTGCTTGTCTGGCATTGCATCACCTTTGAGCCAGAAAAAGAACATAGTTACATTTTCTTGTTAAAATATAAATAAAAGCAACTTTTTTAGATTTGTCAGGTTTTTATTGCTCATTGTGTTCCCATTAGGGAGATTCACCATCCTTAATTATTCGGATCACCAGTGTCACCGGAAATGAAGACCTTAGAGATGATAACTTTCAATGTTATCATCTCTCAGTACTTGTTCATACCATCTACAGGGCGTTCTAGCGTGGTTAGCTGCTGGAACGCACTGTATTGCATAGTAAACCCCCCCCTTCAGGGGCGTGGTGGTCCATTGAAGTCATGACACTGCAGCCACACACATCAGTGTCTGCATTGCAGTCCAGTGCACTCGAAATAATGCTGCATGCACTATTTTTTACAATCGCACTGGACCGCAACGCAGGCATTGTTGTGCCCGCGTTCTGGTGCAGGCAATCGCACTGCGAACGGAGTAGGGGGCACGTGGCTGTGGTGCTATTGACTTCATTGCACTGCTATGCCCCCTCCCACCCCAGAATGCAGGGGGGAGTTTACTATGCGATACAGTGCGTTCCAGCAGCTAACCACGCTGGAATGCACTGTATATGGTGTGAACAAGCCCTATCACTCTTAAACACAAAAATATTTTTTTGCTTTTGAAATAGGTTTGGAGATAGTTAACTCATAACTTCAGGCAGGGCCGGCGCTAGCGCAAGGCAACATGGGCCTTACGGCGCCAGGGAATAGGGCGGAAAGTTGACAGTGACAGTCGGCCGCCCGGCGTAAGTCCGGCTCCGACCGTCCGATCGAGACCAGTGTGGGCTGCCGGCGGGCGGCATCTGAAGGACGAGTCCCCGCCGGCCGCAGCGGCGCTGACCTGTGCAGTCTCAGTGACAGTCTCACTGTCTCGTCCTTGGCTACGTCCTACATCAGTGAGTGACGTAAGTGGCCCCACCCCTGGTTCCCCTGGCCGCTCAGCCGCATGTGATAGAGAGAGGGCTGACACAGGATGACATGGGGGCACAGAATGACATGGGGGCACAAAATGACATGGGGTACAGGATGACATGAGGGCACAGGATGACATGAAGACACAGGATGACATGGGGGCATAGAATGACATGGGGGCATAGGATGACATGGGGGCATAGGATGACATGAGGGGAAAAAATGACATGAGGGCACAGGATGACATGGTGGCACAGGATGATATGGGGCACAGGATGACATGGAGGCACAGGATGATATGGGGCACAGAAGATGGGATGAGCGGGGGGGGGGGGGGGGGGGGGGGGGGGGGGGGCGGCAAAATGCACCTTCGCCTGAGTTGGCAAAAATCCTTGCACCGGCCCTGACTTCAGGAAGTGTAATGGGAAGAGTGTGGGGAGATGGTTAATAAACCACGAATGTAACAGGTTTGTCTCAGTCTGGACACTTCTTTGTGAATGGGACCTGTGACTGTTTGCTCAGCATATCTGAAGCTGAAGTGAGGAATGAACAAGACCAAGCAAGAAGAATACTATAACACAGGCAATATATATCCTATTTATTCCAGTGCTGAAGCTAACACAGATGAAGATATTTGTTAGCTTTCTATCACATTCATTAATCAAAATGAAGAAATGCTCACACCCTCATTGAAAGATCTCACCTCTTAGGCATGGAATGTGTGCTACACATCGGAACCTCCTTGGACATCATGACTGAAACAGGAGACTGTGCAGGAAAGCTGAGATACGGATTGTAGATTGAATAATTATTTTCCATTACCATGAATGCATGAACATTTTTTTTTTTTTTTATCATGACACATGCCCATCATGCTTGTTGTGAAGTAGACAGCAGTAAAGAGAAAATGGAAAGTCAATATGAAGCAAACATGTCCATGGAAACTCAAGGTATCTTTGATGGAGAGGTGCTGGTTACATCCAGTTTGAGCGCTGTACTTGCTATTATGTTTGTCTTGGGTTCGTCTGGAAACATTTATGTACTTGCGATAACTGTCTTGTCACCCAGGCCAGCAGGTTCCCTGTGCATCAATGTCATAAACCTTGCTTTGGCTGATCTACTTTACCTTTCAACTATTCCTTTTGTTGTAAGCACCTACTTGGACCGAAACTGGTACTTTGGAGATATAGGATGCAGAGTTCTATTAAGCATGGACTTATTCACCATGCACGCTAGCATCTACACCCTCACTGCAATGAGTCTACAAAGATATCAGGTAATTGTGCGACCTTTCAGTTCACATATTACCCAGTCCCACCAAAAGGTACTAAGTCTGGCAATCTGGCTTGCATCATTTTTTCTCACTTTACCAATGATGTGTATGATACAGCTACAGGACAGCCATTATGGATCTGGCAAAAAGATTTGCTTTCCCACTTGGACACAAGATTCATTTAGAAACTATTTAACTGTCCTTTTCTGCACCAGCATACTAGGCCCTGGGATAATATTGGTATATATCTATAGTTGCCTAGCTAGAGCATATTGGACACCTGGTCTAAAAGTACATCAGTCAAGGCGAAAACAAAAGCATTGTGTTGGGTTGCGTATATTCACAATAATTATTCTATACTGGACTTGTTTTGTACCTTTTTGGGCATGGCAGCTAGCCAAATATTATCAGAGAGAACTTTCAGCACTCGGTCCTTCAGCTCAAATTTATCTAAACTTTGGAGTTACCTGCCTAACCTATGCCAATAGCTGTGTAAATCCTCTACTTTATACTTTACTAACTCGCAACTATTGGGAATATTTAGCTGGCCGGAGCAGGAAGTCCAGCGGTAAAGGGATGCAGAAGAAAAATCTGGAGATGTGATTGATGTTGGATTATTATAGATGCATTCCATGTATGTAAGGACATTGAACGTAAAACTAAGAGAGTAAAGCTAAGACTACAGTCTAAACTACTGCTATTTGTAATTGTGCAGTATCTTCAGATGAACCCTTTCTTGACAAATATCTAATTTATACTCAACTGAATAAGATGCGTTAGAGGATGGGGATACTGAGAGATTAAAAATCTTTGCAGTTTAGGCCAAACCGAGCTTAATCCTACAAAGTAAAACATGATTAATATGTTTATTGGCCCTAGGGAATTCATGAAGGTACCCACAGTCTTGTATGTAGGACTTTACAATTGCTTACAGTTGCTTACAGTATTAGTATGCATGCTAGTGGCAGAATTTGTGCACAATTTGTTATTTAATTGCTGCCATTACTTTTTTACTAATAATTAAACCTTTACAAAATGTGAAAAAAATAGCTTTACAATCTACTTTAAATTTACCAACTGTTAGAGTGTGAGCTAACCTAACCAGTCTTATCAGTTTATATTCATTCAGGTAAGCCCCACTACCTTAAGGAGGCTGTACAGTCAGCTTAAGGAAAATGAAACATGATCCAGAGTAGAACTATTCAATTGTGGACATCCTCAACTTTCAGTAAAAAAATGTATGTCCACCTTTTAAATATTTATTTACATCAGATTGGTGGTTTGCGGTGCTGAGACTTGGATGGCAGATGATCTTGGTGCAAGAAGGTGCCAATAGTTTGGGGATCCAACAGGTAATTGCAGGATTTCCAGGGGTACATGTTGTGCTTAGAGTAGATTTTAAGGCACACTTCAGTCAAAATTGAAAATTAAGCATTGAGATGTATACAACTAATGCAGCACACTTGCTCAGTACTTCAGTTTTTCATGCAGCCATTGCTCTATTGTACCAGAGCACTTCTGGCCCTTTAGTACAACCACTGCCTGTGATGTAGGAGAGATATTCACAAACATACCCAGCGCAGGCTCCTTGCTGTTTTTCACATACAAATCAACTGTAGATAAGAGCGAGATGTCTCTCACAATCTTAATCAGATTCAAAACTTACTTAAGGTGCCCGTAAGCTTATAATTATCTGTTGATTTTCGGCCGCAATCACGTTTTCGTCCGAAAATCTGCCAGATGATGGTAAATGCACAACCGCAATTACTGTACAACTGGCAGATTTTTTTCTTTCAAGCAGGCTAGAAAATGTTTGTCAACTTGGACGAAAATCAACAGGTTAGTGGCGTTTTCGTACAATAAAAATCTCTAGATGAAAACTGCACATGCTCAAACGAAAATGTAGTTGTTCGATTGACGAAAATCGGCCAGTTAGTGGTGCTGACGAACGAAAATTGAACGAGGGTGCAATGTCAGAACATAAAAAGTTGTACAATGGTTGTAAGGAGTATGGCCACCTTTAGAAGTTTGTTTGTGAAAGATTTAGGTTTGAGGTGGTGTTAATTTTAAGAGGAAATATCTCTAATGTATTTGTTTTACATTTAAGTTTGTAAACTGATTTATGTCACATTTTTGTAACTTGCATAAAGTCTTTTTTTTTAGAACGAAAAATTTAATACAGGGTGCTTTCACTGACTATGAGACATGTATAAGGTTTTATGTGTGTGTCTTGAACAGATCTGAACAAGTTATATTTTCTTTAAGGGCCCATTCACATTTCTGTGTTTTGGTAACCTGTGGTAAAATGTACATTTTACCATTTGTTACCACAGTAGGGATGAATGGGCTTGCAGCATATGTGTGCAGTACAAAAAGGAGTGTAGTGTTGGGCAGGGCCATGCTGCAAAGATTGCTGGAGCATGAAGAAAGATAAATCTTTACCAGGTGGGTGTGGGTCGGGTTTAGTTCAGGGGCAGACTGGCAACTTTTAGCCCAGGGGGCAAGTACAACCCAGTGGCCCATGGTGCAGCAACTTGGCCCCCCTCCTCCTCTGCCGCTTCCTTTGCATGTAACAGTAGTGTGAATGGTCGGGAGATGTGAGGACTCCTAGTAAATCCATGAAAGGGGTGACAGGCTGGGAGATGGTGCTCTCCTCCCACTGGGCTCCGTACATAGTTCTGGCCTTACTCCGCTCCATGTCCGGTACTTCGGCACTCTCACCCACTGTAGACCGCCGCTGGTTGTCCATGCTTCTGGGCTGTGAGCTGTGGGAGGATAGTGGGAGGGGCTGGATAGTGTCAAAGTCAGTGTTCTATCATTTTTCTCGATTCTATACATTTTCTTGACTGTGTCACTTCCAGTTCTCTGCTGGTCAGTGCGGGATCTGTGGGGGCTCCCTAATAATCAGTGGTGGTTCTGTGGTAGCTCCCAGGTGGGTAGTGGGGGCTCCCTGGTGGTTAGTGGGGGATCCCTGGTGTAGGGTGACCATTTATCTAGATATGCAGCTAACGATTATTTTCAAAATCGATTCATTAGCCAATTATTAAGTTCAATTAACCGGTTAATCAGGATTTTAAAAAATGGCTCCTGGGATGGACTACTAGTTTGTATTGAGATTGTAGTCCATCACAGGAGCAAGCTTGGAGCGGTGGAAGAAAAAAAAAAGTGTGGTGTGCAATATAGTGAAATGGAAAGTGTAAAATTATACAGCAATCAATGCAGAATGGCACCGGCTATAGAGGACTACACATCCCAGCAAGGCTGACCTCTGGAGGCCCCCACGGGGGGCCCTCTACAGTGCCTGATCCAGCCATCCCGGCTTGCATACCAATGTGATCCGGGCTGGCTGGATCTAATCAGGCTATGTAGAGGGCTGCCCGTGGGGGCCTCCAGAGGTCAGCCTTGAGGAGCGAGCGGCTTCCTCATTTCACATGCAGACTTTGCTTAGATGTGTAGCAACTAGGCTTGTAGGTGCCTGGTTTACAAAATGGTGACATTTACCAATGGAATGGAAGGAACAAAGTACAGTATCCTATAGCAACCAGTCAGAGTTCACTCTACTGAAAAGGTCAGTATAAGATAGATTTTCAATGGTTGCTACAAGTATTGCACAACACATATTTATTTCATTTTTTTTATCGCCGTCACCTTCAACAGAGCTTTTACATATTATTCATCCATATTGGTCCCTGCCCTCAAGGAGCTTACAGTTTCAGGTCCCTATGTCATATCTACACACACTAGGGCCAATTTAGACAGGTGCTCACTAACAGCATGTATTTGGTGTGTGGGAAAATACCTATGCAATGATTATTTTATCTAATAAGACTGGAAGTGTCTGGGATAGAAAAGACTCAGTTTAAGAAGAATTTCACAGATCCTTCCCAAATGCCTATTGTCTCGTAATGGATGGTATCTATTTGCCAAGCTGACATATGGTGTATTTGACAGTGCGGTGTAAGCTGAAAAGACCTAGGAATATTTCAGGGGAACACAAATTCCAATGAAAATTCCTCTACTGTAACACTTGGTATCTAAACTAACCATTATATATCAAAATCATATTAACAAATGGATACCATAATCCTATAAAAGAAAATAATACATGTTATGGAACCAAGGTGACTTTATTCTTTCACATAAAAAAAACAATTGTATTATTTAAACAAATATAGCTCTTTAAATAAAGAACTCCTACAATATACATCCTGTGTGCTGCTGGTTAAAGGAGGAAACTTGTCATGAGAGAAATATGGACAGTTTTTGGTGACCTCTATCTGAAAATCCTAGAAGCCTGGCTTATTTTGTGTCACTGACCTGGAACATGTATTACAACAAGATGTTTCACAGAGAAGGCAGAACTCCTTAGCTTTTTACTAACTCTGGGTCAGTCACTCAGAACACATGGAACCCAACTAATCACCATGATAGCAAGGAAACTAAAATAAATAGAATGATCAGCACAGCAATGAGAGTCTAAGCATTTCTTTCATGACAGTTTAACGCAGCACATCATCAAAACTTTTTTTTTTAGCTTTGAATAGAGTAGGGAATGACACCTCCCCCTCAGGTGTCATGAAGTATGCAGCGAATCGGTCACCAATGCCGCCACTATTCGTTGTTCCACGCCTGCCGCTGCATTGACTATTCTCCATGCAGTGCGCCAATGAATCATCAAAATTAAACCCATCTCTGCAACGTACAAAATTGTGAAGGGCGCAATATAAATTTGGCCTTCAAAAGTCTGTGTAAAGGCACCGTGTTACATTTCTTCTCCTACCCGGTTGAGCAGGAGAATGTTTAGATGGCTTGTTATGTTTATATATATAGTAAAATTTAATGAGAATTTTACAATGAGTTTGTGTGGTTTTTTATGGGGTTTAACACGAATTTTATTCATTTTATGATCTGTTATTTGTAGTTCCACAAACCGGTGTAGCTCCCAGATTGTAGATCCCAGCTCGCTGCATGAGCAAATCGCCAGATGACAGTGTATATATGAAATTGGTGATTGATATGTACTGATTTATATTCATAAATTAGTACACATAAATAATTAATTTCATACCTATACCCGCTACTAATCACAGAGAGAACACATTTTAAACTCTATTTATGCTTCTATACGCCAACATTTAATTTGTTTATAATTATACAAAGGAGTCATGTACAGAACTTACCGCAAAGTGATCACCAATCGTTCCGGAGGTGGAATGCTGTCCCGCATGAAGGTGTCCTGACGCTCCAACTTGTAAGACAGCAATCATCAAAACTGAAAAAATATATAAAGGTTTGTGGTCAATACTAGCAATTAGCAATATGAATACATGAACAACATATACATGTATTCCATTACAAGGAATGGGACAGAACAACAATAAGCACTAACAATTGTTTATGTACTAACCTCTTTATCGACATGCTGCAGTCCTTCGTCGTTTGGTCAGCTCCATAATGCAATAAATCGTTCAAAACTGCTCTCTGCAAAAAATCCTCCTCACACCACAAGGTCTTTTGCATACAGGAAAGGGAAATGCTGCGTCTCAGGAAGTCTTTTTCATTGGACGCTTGCGGAAAAACAGGAATTCTTCTTCATTGGATACCTC